ATATAATAAGTACATATATATATTTACTTATGTATACACCGACAGCTGCCAATGATAATGAAAACGAAGACAGAAGTGATTTGCTGCAGCAAGAAGGTGCAATTTACAGTGAAAAGTGAACAAATAAAAAAAAGGAAGTAACGACTTATATTCAGCTTGTAAGAGTATTCAAAAAATATATTTAAAAAGAAAAACACTGAAATACGGATAAAAATGTTATGTAATGATTTTTGAAAAAAAAAAAAAATGCTGCCAACGCTACGAAGATTTTTTGACCAGTTACACGCAAAGGTTATCATAATAATAGTCAACTGAAAAAAGATTGCCTCGATTTTGTTTCAAATAAAACATTTGTTTGTCAGATGGAATTCAAGCGCATGTAACCCTAATATACGATGGATGACCCAGTAACTTATTTAAGGGTTGGTGCTTAAGGTACCTTCTGATGCAACAATTTTATGATCAAAAAAATTTCGTTACTCTATAGAAAGGCAAACTGGTATTTTTACAAAAATAAACTAAACGGCCATGGTAGCCGATTGGTTAGCATTTCGTCCTGTCGTTCGCAAGGCCAGGGTACGACCGACAACCGATACTCATAAAAATTTATTTAAAAAACAAAGATTAAGTAAATTTTTTTAATTGTGGTTGCCCCTCGGCAGGGAATGTCAACCCATCCAAATGTATTTCTGGCATGAAATTAAAGCTCCTCCATCAGCCGTTTAGAGGTGGCTTAGTATAAACTGTAGGCCCCTCCATTTGTTGGTAGAACATCAAAATGCAAAACCACTCGGAATACGTGCTCAGCCGGAAATCACTTCAGCGGTTAGAAAGCGCCAATTATATAAGCTATATGAAAAAAATTCGGATGGCGAATTAGCGAAGCCGGTCTGAATGTCCCTTTTAATTTTTATTATATGTTTCTAAACAATATTGATTTATTCTTGATTTGCTCGAAATCCATTCTGTAAGCCAAAAGATCTCTCAGTTCTTCTTCAAATATTGCTCCACAGAAACTTCACATCTACTAAATACTATTACTAAAAACTTTTCACGTTATAAACAATTCTAAAATAATTCTTATTCGAAGTATGGAATTTTTTTATCTTAGGTTTATGTTCTCTAATATAATTATATGTGTGACTTATAATGGTGTTACCCAATCATTTGTATGAGAGTTGAATTATTAAGTGCTTTCAATCTCATCTTGCATACATATTCTTATGTATAGCTGCCAACTCATTTATCTGCTATTTACAATCTGAAATTAAATTTCCTAATTTTCCTATTTTTTCTCTAGATATTGTTGTCAAAAGATTTGAGCAGATTTTTAATAAATTATTGTAAAATTATATTCCAGAAAATTTTAGGAATATGTGCATGCTACAAAATGAGGTTTCGAAACTTTTCATTTTTACAAATAAGTTTTTTTGTAAGCTTGACTACCTACTTTATACTTACAACTTTTGAATATTAATAGTATTAAATGGGTTTATAACATAAATATAAGCCAAATTGATATCTTTAATAGAACTATACTTTTTTTGCCATCAAAGTGATGCGTTGAGTGTGTACGCATAGTTTTTCTGACAAGTATATGTATTTACTTTATTAATATGAATTTTTTATATAATATTTATAACCCCACACAAAATAAGGTAATGTCAATCTACCAAATATATAGTTTCCTATCTTTATTATGAAATTGAGATACCACTTTAGATTATCTAACTCAATTATTAATATTATATAATATGCACTAGAGTTCAAGAATTTGTTCGCATATTTTTTAGAAGATCGAGCATTTAAATGATTGTTCATTGCTCGAAAATTTTTAAGCACAACCTCAAGCAACTCGAGAATTTCGGACAAAAATTTGACTTTTTTTCTGAAACTGATTTTTATAATTTTAAATTTATTTACTACTCATTACCCAGGTATCTAGAGCTGTAGTAAGAACATATATTGTTTAATTTGAATACAAGTGTATTTATGGATATGTATGTACATAAAAAAATTTAAATATCAAATCATAATTTCATAAATTACTGTATCAAAACCTAAGGAGGACAACACAACGGTTGTGAATCAGAAATTAAAGAAATAAATATAAAAATTAATTAGCAATTTACAGCAACGAATGAGAATACAAAAAGGTACAAACTGTCGCAACAAAAGTAGCAGGATATGAACTGAAGCAGAAGACAGAAGGCACAGAGAGCGCAATTCAAATTAGAACCAATGGTAATTGAGACGAAATACGCTCCACTTTTGGATCGTATATATCTCCCTTTTCGTTCCCAAAACAGCATAAATAATTTTGTTGATGATAAAAGAACAAAATTAAAAGTTATGTAAGGATGTGTGTACAGATCAGCTGTGTTTATTTACATCCAAAAGCGAAACATAAACTAAAAAATCGACCAGACATATATAGATATGTTTTATATATAATATATATGTACACATGTATATATGTATGCATATTTCTGTTGACTTTTGACATTTGTATGAAGACAAAAATTTTCATTCTCTAATTAACGGGCCAACGGGATCAAATGCATATTCTACAGATATGTGCATACACGTATGTGTGTACGAGTATGTATAATAACAGATAGAGTAAGTGTGCTAGTAACCGAACAGTACTGAGGAGTAAGAAAACTGTTAATAATTTTATATACAATTTAAATGCATAGGACACAGGCATTAAATAACAATCGTATGTAATTTCCTAAGCGCCTCTGTTTGAAAAGATTACTTGGTGCACCTATGAGAAAGTGTGAGATTTTTATGTTATTATTAATAGAAATGGGTTTGACAGTGCTTAGTTTTATTTATAACTAACAAACCCGAGCACCCTTTGCTGTGACTTTCTGTACTTTCTTCAATTTTTATTCGAACTGGTTTTGCATTGAGCTATATCTAAGTTAAGATATTAAGTTTTTTTTATTATTATATTACTGATGTAACTTTTTACTTGTAGGTGTGGGTTGTTTCTTCGTGGTTCAAAGTCTTTCACGGAAATGCCTCGAAGAAAGCCAAATGCGAAATTCGGATCTTGGGTTATTCGCACTCAAGTTGAACGAATGGGAACAGCTTGTACACGCAGTCGCAGAATAATAAAAATGCGAAGTGAACCTAACTACGCACCATCAATGCTTATATTCCATTCATACTAATTTTGGCCATTTTACCATGGATCGCTTTCGCCTAAGTAAGGCAACCTATATATATATTTCGAGCAAATCAAACCTGGTTCCAGCTCTCTGATCCATTTCCAAGGAAACAAAAGAACAAAATTTAGGCATATCTTTCAAAAAACGAAACATTTGATTTCATAACAGAAATACACTCGGAGGGATTGACATTCCTTGCCGGGGGGCCGACTGCAGGTAGAACGAAAGTTGCCAAAAAAAAAAAAAATAGTCATATGAAAATAGCTTCGTAAAAGTATGATCTTTAAATATAATCAAAGAAAATACTAAAATAAGATAGGATGTATTGGATGGACTGTAGTACAACGTAACAGTGGTAGACAGATTACACACAAATATGATGGGTAGCACTCTTTATTTAAGGAGTTTAGATTAGGTATTTAGGGGCGATGAGAACTTTCCACCCCTTCGGGAAATTCGTGGGGAAGTACAATTTGCTTATGCCTTTACGAATATATTGTCGTTTATATGAAAGGATCTACCCCCTCTCTAGAAATGTAGTTGTGAGGACCTACAATAAACAAACCAAAGTCCAAATTTATTTAATTTTTTTGTGAAGAGCGCCGCAACCGGCGAGGGAGTCTCAGCGATTAACCACAACTCGTAATAAATTAACTGCTCAGTGTTTATTGAAAAGTATAAAATAGTTGTTTTAGTTGGACATTTATATTATGCATACATTTGTACACACATAACTTAGGCTTTAGCCCACCTAATGATTAGCATTATGTTAACATTAGTGCTGCTCTCTCGATTAATCTAAACAGGCAATGTTAACTGTTTCGAATAAACATTGTAGAGTCTAACATTAAAAATGAAAGACAATTTCTAAACATGAGACAAGATCATTCTCATGTACATACATACATATGTACATATGTACATATGTATATCCACTTACCAGGTTTCTGGATTCCAAAGGATTAAAATATTCCCATGTACATATGTACAAATACACTATAGGTACATGCAAATGTATGTATGTATTTTTCATAGAATATTTTACTGAATAAAGATTTATTAATTATATTACTTCCCACCAATTCCAATCTTTTTACTACTCTTAAAAAGTAAACATCAAAGTGAAGAGTCAATTGGTGACGCCACAAAAACTTTATGTTTATACTTTGTAAACTACCATTTCATTGCTTACTTTGACTTTCCACAAAAATTCATTTTTAATGTTTCCCATCAAATTTTAATTTTAATGCAAGTTATTTAGATACATATATTATATGTATAATATATAATATGTATATATGTATGCAATCTTCATATTTCATATGTTTTAATTATAAGTTTGAAAAAAAAAATTAGATTTACATAATTCAAAAGTGATTAGGTCTACATTCATAATTATTATAAATGTATTATTATTAAGATCAAAATAATTCTAAACTAAAATTAACTGTTATCTTAACTAACAAATATAAACGTAATCCAAAATACACACCTCTGATTTATGCAACATACATCAGAGTCGGATGAATACACACATACATACATACATACCTTCATCTAAAGGTATATATATACATATGTATGCATTTTATTTTTGATATTATGGAGAATAAAGTGGGTTTATATACATTCATACACACATATGTATGTACATATATTTGTTGGTATTAAAAAATAAAGCCACTGGGTATCGTCTTTCTGTGATGTTTTTTTTTTATTTTTGTGGTTTTTGAATTTCCACATCCGAAACCCTCTTAAATACTATGCATTATTTTTTGCTTGTTTAGTTCAAAAATGAAAGAACATTTTTATAATACTTACTTTTAACAGACATTTATGTAGTTACATGCATGTGTATTTATGTACATATGTATGTATGTATATATACATATCTGCAAATTTATCCAGCATATATGTATGTATGTATTTGTATGTATCTTTTCCACAATATATTGTCGATTTAATCATTTCACCATTCCATATAAATGCACTGGAAAACAAAGCATTGGTACTAAGATATCTATGTTTGTATGGATATAGACATTTATTTCTTTCTACTTGGAATTTTCATTAGTTTTCAGATACCGTCACTGAAGTTGCAACAGCACTCGTTGTATTATAACTTTCACAATAGGAGATATTCCATACATACATATGTATGTATGTACATATATATATAATATCTGTGCATGTAGTTGCTTTGCACCTCGTTGCACTTGACTCACTATCGAAAATTTTCAATTCACTCTAAGTTGGCCACAAAAAAATCTATTGGCATTTTTTTATAATAATATTTGAAATGGGAGAGCTAATAATTAGCACAAATAAATAATATTTTATCAAAAATTACACTCACTATTAAGATACTCTGACACTCGCACCCGCACAAGCCGTTTAACCTCTTGACGCGTTTCAACTAAAACCTGATTTCTCATCTGAACATTGACAGTCTAATAGGCAGATAAATTTGTGGAACGTATATACATATACATATGCATGCATGTATGTACACAAAATACGATGCAATCTTGTTTTTATATACGTAATGCATTGCATTTTGTATACACACGATCGGTGGACAGCTGCTTTGCTATTGAGACGACAAAAAGAGACAAGCATTAGCATGCTCTAGTTTGCTTAGCTCAGTTTGTTTTGTAATCATAACTACTGGTGATCGTGATGTTGCCAGAAGGAGTTTCCGAATTTCAAATGCAGTCATTTTATAAACTAACAAATAACATTACAAATGCGGCATGAAAAAATGCTTTTTATTATACATACATATATATTCTAGGACTGCATCGTAACGATGAATTCCACGTAAATAAAAAAATTCAATCGGTTCGGTTTAAACATTCAAGAATGTTATCGTTAAATCAGTTGTTTTCAAAACAAATTTTATTTGATTTTTAACCAAAAAGAAATACTATCGTGGATGTTTAATCGTTAACAGATAATGTTAAATGTCAAAATTTAAATACGCTGTTAATAACATAGCAACACGGTTTCAACATTAACAATTTCAATTCGTTTCGACAACATGGCGACGAAACGAATTAAAATCTTTTGGTTAAGTTTGTTTTTGATATTAACAAGCCCAAGTGGCACCGTTTCGGTAGTGGAACATCTCTGATCCATACATAGGCCATATGTATTTACATGTATGTATGTAATGTAGGCCAAATAAACATTAGTTTTGAATCACTCCATATATAAAACAGACCTTGCCAATAAATTTGTATTTATTTACGTACATATGTACGTATTTCAAGAACCGACCGAACTCGGTTTGTTTCGAAAAGCTTAGAACGCACGAATTATACCATTCATACATTCATACGTATATATGTACGTATACTCGTAGTCTGAGGGCAAGCTATAGGCCCTCCGTTTTAAATCCGTTAAACATCATGGCTTTGTGTAAAATAGAATATCAATAACGAGAAATGATTACTTATGAAAAGTGCATTTTGCTGTAATTAAAATGAATATATAAATTTTTGCCGCCGATAGCCGGTGGTTATTATTGCGTATTGCCATTCGGAAGGCCAGGGTTCGAGTCCTGGTACGACCAACATCCAAAATCAATTTAAAAAGTCGCCCCTCGGCAGGGATTGTCGAACCATCCAAATGTAAAAACTTTAAGTCGCCCATTTGTTGGAAAAACATCCATACGCAAAACCAAAAATTGGGGGAGGAGATCTCGTCCGAAAATCGCCCCAGCGGTAACTAAGCGCCAATTATGTATTTATAAATATATTTTTGCTAATATCAAAAGTGCATCATAACTCTGAAACACTTGATACATAATATTATAGTTAAAGTAGTTAGAAAAATAAGTTTCCTATCTGCTTTCTCGGCTTATTGTTATTTTGGGTTTTAGTTTTTGGAATAGTGAAATTGCTTATTGTTATTGTTTAAGTAGTAATCATCATACGCCCGATTTCTCCAGCATACTTTTAGGGGTTAGTTTTTGCTTGAAGTCATGTGAGAAGAGAACTTAGAATGAGTTCTCTAAGCTCTCTGCATATGTACATACGCATGCATGCTTATATGCATGAGTGTTATTCGCAGGAGAAAAGTGAAGCAATAAACTTGAAGTGCCTATTAGATGCTGAACTCAGGGCGCTTGGATGATATTCGACAGCTTACATTATTGCATGCTTAGGTGGTGGCCAGGACGGAGTTTCCTCTCGCTCAACAAATTTTGAGGAACAAAGAGCTCAATAAATTCCCAACGCAACAAATAGAATGGCCTCCCCCGTACAATCTACAAATTTTTCACCCGGAGCTCCAACCAAAGCATACATAATGTAAAAGGAGGAAGGGTCCCCTCACTTTTACCTACAATTTTTTCCTATGGAAACTCTATTAAGAGCCAAAAGGCTGAAGGAATAAATTTCAAAGCTGTTATTTAACATCACCTTTCACTCCTAAACATCCTCTTCTTCCCCCACACTTCACTACATGTGGATTACACTGCCGGAAAATCGCAGAAAACACGTCGCGACCCCAGAAACGTGACAAATAACGATGACGACGTAATTTTAATAGAAGCATCAGATGACGCAGTTGAGCTTACGCTTTCTGCCCAGAACAGTCTACTGGAATGGAAAATAGTGCTTTCCATCCGGATAGCGCTTCCGACCACTTTTACATCATGAACTTCCGCAAGAAGGAGTGGCAATGAAAACTTTCCAACCTCGGAGGAAACACACTCAACGCCGAAATCATCATCAACGCCATCTGCAGCGTAACGGAAGAGTGGAATCCCAGACATTTCACCTTCCAAAAAGAAGCAACATTCGATCCAGCCTACCGCAAGACCGAGAAAGAGCTGAGTATACGTTACAAAATATGGTCGCACCAACGGATTTAATAAGAATAGAGGCAATAAAATCTAAATAAATCTATTGGCCCATGTTTACTCGAGGAGCGTAAATCCTTTCATTACTTTGTTCGCTGGGTTATTGCTCATGCAGCGCAGTGTCAGGTGCCTGAACCTGAATATTATTATAGGATTTCGATTTTTTTTAATAAACTTCACGCTATTCAGCAAATGTTTTATAACATCAGCCACAACTTTCCTTCGCAGTGCTTTCAGGCTCATTTGATCGTCAAAGCTTTCTAGTAATTTTAAGGAATCCAGTGTACAAAAAATAAAAATATAAGTTAGTTCTATACCTTCAATATTCCGAACACCCAATTCCTCAATGCAGACTATTTACTTACTTCACTGGCGAAGATGCCGCTTACGCGATTATAGCCGACTTGACAACATTCCGCCATTCATTTCTTCGTTCCGTTGTTTGGTCCTTCTCCGCCTGGTGATGGTATACGGAGTGGAGGTCTTCTCGTTCCTTTGCTTCCATCGGCGGGTACTGCATTGAAAACTATCAAAGCTGGAGCATTCTTATCCATCTGGATCACATGACCTAGCCAGCGCAGCGCAGTGCTATAAGAGTTCTGCCTATCGCCGTATCTTTTCGTAGAATTTTGGGATACTACCTATAAAAGCCAGCTTCTCAAGCAGTGCTCACTCACCCATCGCGGTGTCTTTATCTTTTTGGCCACGCATGGTCGCTCATAATGTTTGGAGGTAGGCAGCCTGCTTATTCTCCACTGTGGTACGGCACTCCTCTCCGTAACAGCTGTTGGTTTGACCTATCCAAAAACTACCGGGATTTCGAGATATTGTGGCAAAACTAGCGCACTATTTTCAGTTACATGTAACTGAACTACGCTACGTTGGCCACTTTCGTATATACCTCATCGATGGCTCATACCCGGTTCTGGAAATTTTTGGCATCTTAAGATATACTGGCGTTCTGTAATGTGCTTTAGGTGCCGGACTCTCCTTCTTGACTCACATTCGTATTTAGCATTTTTGCAACAATATGCAAACAGAAATCGAAACGGAATGATTTTGGAAAACGTACGCATTAGCTTAACAATACCAGTTGAATAATAAGAGATATAATACATGGCAGCTCTGCCGCATTCTTAAAACAGCTGAGAGTGTATATTTTATCACAACTTTTATGAGGTTGCAGATAAGTATTCTGTTCCCTGAGAATAGTTAATTTGATTTTTAATTACTCCGACTTGACGAGGCGCATATACTTTCCCACTCATTATTGTTATTTTAACACTATTCCCTGGACCGGTTTGGAAATTACACGTAAACAAGTGTGTGTTAGGTGATTTTCATAAATGCTTATTTTGTGCAAAAATATATAAGATATTGGCTGAGCTTTGATATGCAGCCCCACTTGATATTGTAAGCAAACAACCAGGAATTTCGACATGAAACTTCGTAGGANGTCCGGCAACTCCAATGTAGACGTAATTTTGCATTTATTACTCGAAATTTAAAATAGAATTATTAAAAAACTATAAGTCAGCTAAATAAAAGAAAATTAGTTTTAGAATCTATGATTTTTCCTCTTTCCATCCATATAAAATTTATTTGCGAAAGCCTGTGGCTCTAAACAAAAATTTTACCAAGATATTTATTCCACACAAAGTGTTGACTCGGTGCAGTTTATTGTCGTCATTGTTATTGAGTCGGCGTGTTTTTACAACAAATTTGGAAACGCGAATTCTTGTTTTCAATCGAAAATATTCCTTTAAAACCGTCATGGCGAATACGGAAATTGTGGGACGTGCACTTCACTATGTATTGAAAATTGGCAATCGGGGAAAGAATTCCTACTTCTTTCGCGATATACTGGGCATGAAGGTAAAAATGTTGTTTTCTATAAGCGTTCATTGCTTGAGATGAACACATATCACGTGAAATTAGAAAAGCTCATTTAACTAATTAATATTAATTATTAATGGAATTTTTTTTTAAAGGTACTTCGTCATGAAGAGTTCACTGAAGGGTGTGACGCGCAATGTAATGGGTGTGTTTTACTTTTATTATATAAGCAAATTAAATGTTATTTACATATACGTATATTCGTATATAGGCCTTATGACAACCGTTGGAGCAAGACTATGATTGGCTACGGACCGGAGTCCTCACATTTCGTCATAGAACTGACATACAACTATGGTGTAAAGAGTTACGAATTGGGTAAATAAATTTCTTTTCGTTTAACAAATATTACAGTTTGAATGAAACTATAAAAATTGTTTGCATACATACATATTCATAAAAATTATAATAATTTTTCATTAAGGTAATGATTTTGGCGGCATTACAATAAAATCCAAGGAAATCCTTGAGCGCGCTCGTTCTCAGAATTATCCCATTTCGGAAGAATATGGTCAATATATACTCACATCACCTGATGGCTACAAATTTTTTATAATTGAAGAACCTCAACCTGAAGATGCGGATCCTGTGTTGAGTACCACATTGCACTCAAGCAATTTATCAGCATCTAAACAATACTGGCATGAATTACTTAATATGCAATTGGTTGACGAAGACTCCAATGTATTAACACTCTCATATGGCAATAATCAAGCATCGTTAAAGTTAAAACTTTTAAGTGAACCCATTAATCGCGCTAAAGCTTATGGTCGTATTGCGTTTGCAGTTCCATTAAATGTTCAACCCGTCATCGATACGAAAATTCAGGCGGCTAATGGCACCATACTGACGCCTCTTATTACGCTAGACACACCTGGAAAGGCAACAGTACGTGTTATTATATTAGCTGATCCTGATGGACATGAAATTTGTTTTGTTGACGAAGAAGGGTTTTCTGAATTGTCAAAAGTTGAAGAGGATGGTGAACGCAGACTCACAAAATATATTCAAAAAGATCCGTACCAAGAGAAAGAGTAAACATTCTTATGATTTTTTGAATACTAATGCTTATCTCTTAACACATATTAAATTCATTGTATTTGCATTAAAATTACATATAAATTTAAAGTTTGATTAGTTGTAGAAATGCTGAATATACATATATATTTTTAATATTATAGAGGAGAAACCCTTATTCGAGAAAAACAATGTTTACCATCTTTTTTGTACTACAGTATATAGAAATTCTTTAAAGGTTTTTATTCTAATGTAAATATGTAAAATATCGAATTACATAATATAAAATAGTATATAGCGTGAACAATAAATATGCACCATGCACGTATAATTATCTAGTTAATCCCATAAGTCTCTTACCTAGACTAAATAAAGCAATTCAGGCGGAATGCAGCTTGGCTACCGTAGTTATTGTTGTAGCGGCTAGATAACCCTACCTTGGATGCTCAACTATTTCAGTGATGCGCAGAAGGTCTTTTTTAGTGGATACTCATCACACTTAAAGTAAATATATCCTCTGAATTTGGCTATATAATTGACAATTTTTTTTTAGTAAAGGGAATAGACGCAGGCCATACCTAAAAGTTTCCTTCCACTTAATACAAGAAAACTAAATTGAAAAGATATTTTCTATCATATTTTGCCTAATCTAATCTTTTTTTCTTTTGGGACAACATTCATTTTTTACAATCTAAGTTTGGCAATATGTGCATAGAATGATTTCAATAGTTAATAAATGCTTGAGAATGAGTATGCGAATCCACACCTCTTATACCTTGAATATTTGGGTGTAGACTGTATGAACTGTGACTGTTGTTGTTAATTTTGCCGCGGATTGATAAACGTCTTCTCAGACTCGCCAAATAACACGTAGAGATAATGAGAACATCTTATCACGACACGCGATAGATGGAAAATAATAATAGCTTTGGAGTGCTCTTACTGAAATCAAGAAATGCCAAAACATTTTGATTAATTCTTAAATGAAAAAAATTATATTTTCTCATGCACATCAAGTGCAATTTAAGAGTTTTTTTTTATTTTTAAGCGAAAATGACTAATATGCAACATACATATATCTTTATAGGTTTTACCCAATGATGAAATGATAAAAATGGGCAATCCAAAGTGGTGTGTTTGTTGAAATTTTAACAAAATCAGAAAGCAGAGTTATCGGCAGTGTGATTCACTCTAATATACGAGTATATCACTGTGAAACAGTATGGAATTGGGTCTGAAAATATTTCGTTCAAAAATTTCTTTTTGAAATTCTCCATATGTACATACAATTATGCACACCGACTTTTGATTTTGAGTTAAATTGTTGTAAAACCTTTCTTTTGAAAATATTTTTTTTTACACACTTAGTTTTCCATAATTTATATATTGTATATTGGAACAAAACTGCAGAGTAAAGCACTTGAGATTGAAAATTCTTGTAAACGAACGAACTTACTTGCCTTTACTTTAATGAACTCATATTTGGCTATAATTTCCAAGTAGGTGCATTACACTGCGATGGAGAGTCCATGTGACCTTTATGCTTTTTTAAAGGCTTTGTAAATATTTAACTACCTACCACAACCGCCACTATTTTATTCAATGTTATTTCAGTCTTATACCCAGGTAAGTTGACTGACCTATTTATATGACAAATAAAAATACTTTATTTTGCTTCAAAACAAACCACATGTACATACACACATATGTATATATTACATACAGTGGGTGGCCAAATTATTAGGGACAGAGCTCGTATCATTTGTAAGGTTTACTTGGATGTTTAAGATTTTGTATGATAGTGTTCTTAACGGTTTTTTTATCTGATGTAGCTTTTGATGTCTATATTATGGTTTTTGTGAAGTGGCAAAAACATATACAAATTCTTTTGTTATGGTTTGTCTATGAATTTACACTTTTTCAATAGTTCGACACGGTAACCCCGAATTTTCCACTTTTTAAGATGGTTAGGGCTCAGGACGCGTCTCTATGAAAATGTAGAGAAATACAAACGCACAATTGCACTCCACACATTCCCAGAGGGATATAGAAAAAAATTCTGTGGTTTCAAAGTCTGTTGTCAATCGAATAAAAATTATAATTGAACATAAAGTACCTCTTGAGGCAAATCGACCAGTTTGCAGAAGAAACAGCTGTTGATTGAAACATTTATCAGAGAATTGCATCACAATTCCAAACTCCAAGAAGATGCGAAAAAATGTATTGGAAGCATGCCCGACGCATGGAAGCTGTGGCAGCATGCAGCAAAGGAAGACATAAATAAATATGAGATATAAATAATAGTAGGCCCCGGGATCAAGAGTTTACCCGCGGTAAGGCATGCCTGTCGTAAGAGGCGACTAAAAAGTATTTTAGGGAATATTTTTGCGGTTACAACAACAACAACGATAACAAATAAATATTAAAATAAATTCTATTCACTTTTTAACAATATTAATATTTGTCATAAGAGGATTATAAAACAGTTTTGTGTAACTTTTTGGCAGTTTTCGTTATCGCAATAGAATATAGAAACAAAAAAAAAATATTTAAGAGACATATAACTAATTATTTGTAGCAGAAATCCAATTCAACAAAAAAACTGAAGAATTTCCTTACTGTCCATAATAAATTGGCCACCCACTGTATGTGGAATTGGCGCTAAAGTAACTCTCGGTCGAGCTTTTACAATTTGTGGTAGGCGTATAGATGTTTTCCAACAAATGGAGGGACCTACATTTTATTCAGAGCCACCCCTGGACGACCCATGGATTTTTATGAGGACCCCTCATTTCATGTCAGAAATACTCTCGGAGGGCTTGAAGCTAATGCTGTTGAAGTATGTGTTTAACTTGTAAAAAGGTATCATTTCGAATAGCTTGGTAATCCATCTGATGCCATTTGCAGCTGTAATTTTAATTTTAAATTATTAAACTTCACAATAAAAATCTCATAGAAAAATCATCTTGGCTGATGAGGCCCATTTCCACCACAATGGCTGCGTCAATAAGCAAAACTATCATCTGTAGCTCGGAAATCTCGAGATTTTTCGCTCAAAATCCTCTCCATCCTCAGTGGGAGCATTGAAACTTACTTTTAAAAAAATAAAGCTGGAGCAACAGTTACGAGATATGATTAATGACCGGAATTGGATGATATTGATAAGGACAACCCTCACTCGAAACCCCTGATCTTTAAAAGAAAAAGTTACCGGACCGTGTTATCTTTCACAGAGTTTAGCGTAATTGATCACAGAGATCTCGTGATTTAACGCCTTGCTACTTCTTCCTTTGGAAACGTGAGAAACGGAAAATTTCATAAAAGGATACTATAGCGTAGCCGTGGCCGCCTTTTGGCTAATATTGTTTTCCATTATTTTTGGCATATCATCTTCCTGACATTGAAATAAACATACGATCATTTATCTCAGAAAAGTAATTTTTTTTCGAATTTCAAAATAATACCTCTTATTGGAATACCCTGCATATCATATTGAGGAGAGGTAGGGAAATGTGCCTAATCGTCTGCATCGCTCACAGTCTGAATTGAAGCATCGGATATCGGGAGTATTTATTGTTATTATAATTAATTTTGAATATTAGTTTATTTAATAAATAAATTATGAGAATTAAGCTCTACAGTGTCTTTGTGGTTTGTCGTTAAAAATTGCATTAGTAAAATTAAAATAAAAAACTCCCAATTTTATTAAGGTACTTATAATAGTACTTTCAAACAGAAAACGTATTACGTAATATATATCCAGGTATTCATATTAAAATAAAAAAATCCATTGAAGCTCACAAAATTATCTAGAGGAGTTAAAGCTTTAGCAGAGAACATATAATAATTATTTTCTGCTGGAATCATTGTAGTTGGCTTAAGTAGATAAGGCAGTTTCGAAGTTTCCGCCATCATCTACATTACAATTGGTTTTTGCGCCCTCTGTTGGCATAATTGTTGTTATGTATTGCAGATAAAACAGTTCAGTAGTTTCCGCTAACATATGCAGTGCGAAAGTTCTTAGCACCCTCTGTGTGTGGCATCTAATGACTGTTTACAACAATGTACAATTACCAATGTGTCGATAACAAATAACTGCAAAACGGCTAAAATTCATAAAATATATTTAACAAGGTTATTGTTTGCTAATATACAGCATTCAAAAAGAAAATGTTTTCCCTATAATTTCGTTGTCCCGCGCCGCATCGCATATATGACGAGCAACGAAGAGTAATGTCAGACAGTGATTTACAAGATGCCGCCAATCCATCGAAACCGTAGGAGCTACTGCTAGACCTAAGGATAAAGTAGTTGGAGAGTAGCTTATCAGCATAAAAAGCAGAGTTCCGGAATAACCAGAATCCTGATAATATTGAACAATTGAAATTTAGTTTTGGTTGCCCTTAGCAACTAATCCGAAGCCAGCTGTCGCAGAGAAGAGAGTTGGCGTAAATTTTCTAAATCTCGATCGCAATTGCAATAATGGTAAGTAACATCCGTTTATTTTAACAATCTACAACAACAACGGATACTTGACGACAATTGCAACGCAATCCTAGACAACGATAATGAAGACGACAATCTATCACCGAGTCTTATAGTGGAATCCAGTGAAGACGCGCCTATTAGCGGCTTTCTTCTTCTTCTTTACTGGCGTTGGCACCGCTTACGCGATTATTACTGAATAAATATTAGCGCGCCATTGCTATCTTTTTTTCACTGTCTGGCGCCAGTTGGAAATACAAAGTGTAACGAATACGTTCTAAGCTGGAGTGCTTTCATCTATTCGAACGACATGACCTAGCCAGCGTAGCCGCTGTCTCTTCATTCGCTGAACTATGTAAGTATCAATAATGCGCAAATCGTTCGCAAAACTTTTCTCTCGAAAACTCCTAACGCCGACTCATCAGATGTTGTCATTGTTCATGCTGCCGCACTATATAGCAGTGCGGGAACGGTGAGAGACTTGGTTTTCATTCGCAGGGAGAGGACTCTTCTTTTCGTTCAGTTCGTATTATTTTCTCCAGCAATAAAGAAGTCACACGATAAGGAATCACCCTGTTTGAAACCTCGCTTGGTATCGAACGGCTCGGAGAGGTCTTTCCAGATCCTGACGGAGCATTTGGCGTTTCTTAAGGTCAGTTTACATAGCTGTATAAGTTCAGCGGGGATTCCGACTTTAGACATAGCGGCGTAGAGGCAGCTCCTTTTCGTGCTGTCGAAGGCTGCTTTAAAATCGACAAAAAGGTGGGGTGTGTCGATCTTCTTTTCACGGGTCTTTTCCAAGATTTGAAGCTACACTGATAAGGTATAATCAGTTTGTCGACTTTAGTCTTTCACACA